TCTGCAGAGGGACCTGGACAGGCTGGATAGAGGGGCTGAGTCCAATATGAAGTTCAAAAGTTCTAGTGCTGAGTCCTGCACATTGGCCACAACCACCTGTGCAGTGCTACACACTGGGGACAGAGTGGCTGGACAGTGCCCAGGCAGAAAGGGATCTGGGGGTGCTGGTGACAGCTGGCTGAACATGAGCCAGCAGTGCCCAGCTGGCCAAGAAAGCCAATGGCCCCTGGCCTGGATCAGGAATAGTGTGGCCAGCAGGAGCAGGGAGGTCATTCCTCCCCTGTTTTCAGCACTGGTGAGGCCACACCTCAAGTGCTGTGTCCAGTTCTGGGCCCTCAGTTTGGGAAGGATGTTGAGATGCTTGAACACCTCCAGAGGAGGCAACAAGGCTAGTGAAGGGCCTGGAACACAAGCCCTGTGAGGAACGACTGAAGGATGTGGAGTGGTTTAGCCTAGAGAAAAGTTGACCTTATCACTCTCTACAACAGCCTGAAAGGTGGTTGTGGTCAGGAAGGGGTCAGTCTCTTCTCCCAAGCAACAGCTGACAGAAGGAGAGGACATAGCTTTAAGCTGCATCAGGGGAAGTTTAGGTTAGACGTTAGAAAAAAATTCTTCACTCAAAGAGAGAGTGTGCACTGGAATTGTCTGCCCAGAGAGGTGGTAGAGTCGCCAACCCTGGACATGTTTATAGGACTGGATGTGGCACTCAGTGCCATGGTTTAGTTGATGAGGTCACACATTAGATTGTTGTTAGGTCACAGGTTGGACTAGATATCTTAAAGGTCTTTTCCAACCTAATTAATTCTGGGATTCTGGCATTCTATGAAAAGGTGGTGGTCAGGAGAGAATATGAGTTCCCAAGTACCCATCCAAAGGAAAAGGAGACACGGAGCGCTCTGGCCAGGAAAAGGTATAAAAAGAAGCCATTTTCTGGGAGGGTGTGTGTGTTTGACTCTTGGAGAAGGGAGGCACAAACCTGTCTCAGCTGCATCATTACTAATTAAAGAGTTTTCTTTTGCTTCAACAAGTTGTCCCCATTGAATTGTATCTAAAAGTTAGTGCACTTCTAACACCACGGAGGTGGAATAAGGTGATCTTTATGGTCCCTTCCATGTTCTATGATTCTGTGACTGAGCACGAATGCAGCACTTTCACGGGCTTTCTCCCACTGGGAGCTGTTCTGGTCCCGGTGGTTCAGCCGGGACTGTGCGGAATCGATGGAGCGGAGCAGGATCAGCGCCAGCGCCTCACGTCTGGGGCAATGGGGTAATGGGGCCATGGGGCCCTGCCTCGGGCAGGGAGCGAGCGGCGCCACACGGGCACGGCCGCAGGGGAAAAGGGAAAGGGAAGGATCAAGCGTTGCCCGGCGGAGTCCCGTCGGTGCCGGGGCGGGCCGGGCAGGGCGCAGCCGGTGCCAGAGGCGGCGGAGCGAGAGGAGGAGCCGGACCCGGTCCCTGCCCCTGACCGGGGGCCGCGGCGGGAGAGCGGGGCACGGCCGGGCGCTGCCGCTGCTCCGCTCTGCCCGCTCCTAGGCAGGGGCTCATGGAGGAGGCCCGGCGCCGCCTGAGGGAGTTCGATGTCGGGGACAGGTTCTCCCACTTGCCGCTGCCCAGAGCCGCCGTGCTGCTGCCGCTGACGGTGCGGGAGGGCCGGCTGCACCTGCTGCTCACCGTCCGCTCCATGCAGGTACCGGGGGGGCTCCGAGGGGCGCGATCCTTCCCGGGAAACCATCGGTGTGAGCCCCCCGGCATCTGCGCACCCCCAGGGCCGCCCCTGGCTCCCGAGGGCCCGGGCCAGGTGTTTTTACACTCGGTGATTGTGGTGTTCCCCTGCCAGGAACAGGCCGGCTCCCCGGAAACCCGTGACGGGAAATGAGCATTTCCAGAGTCGCCAACGATTGTTTACCTCGATACGGAAATTGACAGTGCAGTGCAGCTTTAGTAAATGATATTTTTCAGTCTGCAGTTGGTATTACTCTTTTCTGCCTTTAATACATAAAAGGCAACAAAACATAAAAGCTAAGGCTCCCAGAACTCTTTTCCCAGCATTTTGTTTCGTTTTACAGCCCTTGTTTTCCACTCCTGCCTCACATGAACTGCCTGTACTCGGGAATTACTTTTTTCTGTTGCTCAATGGGTCCTGCTCAATGAAACAAACAATCACAGTTACATAGCTGATACACTGATTGTAAATGCGTTTTTTACTGATCCTTGATGTGCAAGCCTACTACTGGAATGTAATTAAAGGTATCTTAGAAATAACTCACTTTTTGGTACAGTTAAGAGGTGACACAGTCTTCGAAGCAATAACTAAATTACCATTAATTAATAACGAGCCAGCTGTGTCGTGTGCGTGTCTCCTTCCCCAGAGGTGAAAACAAACACACACACACACACACACACACACACACACGCACTTGGATCAAATGGCAGTCTTTTATACCCTTTCCCACTGAATAGGTACTTAAAAACTGATGCTCTCTCTCGACTGCCAACTCTTCTGTCCCTTCCTTTCTCATCCTTCTTCCTGTTCGGTCGTGTCTTGAATGCTGCCCCTCTCCACTTCTCAACAACAGATTAAACAAAATACACCCCAACCATTTTCATTAATTTGCTCCATAATCTTGTTGGGCTGAAGCAAACGTTATCTACTTTCTCACAGGTATATTATTTAATTGTGTCTTTCAGAATTTTTTGCTCTTAGAGTATTTTAATCTTGCTCTACAAGTTGTCTGCCTGGATTTGTCTATCTGGATTCTGCTGTCAGTCATTTATGCAAACAAGATGATGCAAAATGCAAACTCTGACATACTACAGCAGAAGTTCCAGTATAGATTACACAGTGCTGTACAGGTGCAGTGTATTTCTGACAGGGTTTATGGATTAGCAGGGGATAGGCTCACCGTTTTCTTAAGTAGCTACTCTTGCTAAGGCACATTTCTTCTGGTCTGTAGAAACCTTCACCACCATTTTTTGGACTGGAAACATAAAGGGATCCTGCAATACCAACGTGTGTCTGTGTGGATCCAGTAAGAAACACAAACCTTGTTATATTTAACAGTGGTACTTTACATTCTAGCTGAGAAGATCACCGGGGGAAGTGTGTTTTCCAGGAGGTAAAAGAGAAGCCACTGATAAAGATGATATTGACACTGCTCTCCGAGAAGCTGAAGAAGAAGTGGGTCTTCAGCCAGAGAAGGTGGAAGTCATCTGTAGGCTGATGCCTGGAATTGATAAAGTAAGTCAGTGTATCATTACAAAGTAAGTTTGGGTGGTTTTCTTCGGTGAGGTGGGCAGTGACCTTTTCAAACCTGCAGCTGCCAAGAGGCGCCGCTTCTTCCAGTGCACAGCGCGTGTGTCCAGCAGGGCCCAGGAAAAGGGTTCTTGCTCTGTGTTTGGTATTTCTGAGAGCACCTTTGGGACACCAGTTAGTGACACTCTGGAGTGCCACAGACAGTGCTGTGCTGGAGACAGTTCAGCACAGAGCCTTGAGTACAGTCACAGGGCTACAGCGAGGGGGTGAGGAGCAGAGAGGCTGAGAGAGGTGGGCTTGCCCAGCTTGAAAGCTACCAGGGGATTTGACTGCTTTCTTCTCCTGCGTGGTCATGGAGAGGACAATACCAGAACTCTTCTTGAGGCAATGGACACAGCAGCAACCTGGCCATTTTGATGAGATGGAAGAAAATAAATCCTCTTCACCATGAGGTCATCCCAAAACTGGAGCATATGTTCCTGAGAGGCTGTACAGTCTCCATCCCTGGAGCTGTGCAGAGCTCACTCACCCAGGCAGGGTCCCAGCAGGCTGCTGGAGCCTCACAGGGCTCTCGTTCCATGTCTGCTGGCTCCAGGGCTGTGCAGACCCAGAGGGAGCACCAGAGGGGATGTGCACCAGGATTGTGTAGAGACCTTTAGCAGGGAGACTCCCAGAAGTGTCTTGGGAGTCTGGGTCACCATTTGTAAATTAACACGTTCTCCATTTCAATAGCAATTCACTATTCAATTCACTATAACAATGGTACTATTAAATAGGATCAGTTTTCCCATAGAACAGAGGAATTTCTGTTTCTGAAGACTATTTTTGTTCACCAAGTAACAGTTTAGTACTATGCCTCCTGTTTTTCAATCTGTTAGCAATATCCTCTCCCCATTAAAAAAGGAAAGAAGTACTTTTGAAATTGTATTGAAAAAACTTTTATTTAACTTCTTAAATTTTAATTTCTGTACAGAAAATTAATCTTAAATCTTAAAGCCACATAGTTCAGAGGGAGTGTGCAAAAAGGATAAAATTTTCCCTGTTTTCAGCCAATTTCCTCAGTCAGTAGGAGAGATGATGTGAGTTTTGGACCATGAATATTATACATGTCTGATGATATTTTGTCTCCTCAATACATAACATTCCATGTGCTTCTGACTTGGACAGAGTCTTTCCAGAATTGAATCAAATACCACAAAAACTATTTTGCTCTTCCTCCTTTCTACAGAACAGTTGGTATTTGTGTGAATAAATAGAACTAGAAATGTATCCTAAAGAATTTTGGTGTTCCATTGATGCAAACTATGATTTCAGTAGATTTTGCCTTCCTGTGGAAAAAGGGATTACATTTAGAATTAAAATGCCCATAAATCAGGTGTTTCAAAAAGTGTTCTATTTTATGGCTAAATATATTGCAATAGTATTTCTGTACCTTTAGATAAACATTTTCATATTCTGGAAAATTCCTCTATCCTGGGAAAACAATACAGAAATATGATGAAGGATATGGAAAATCTGGATTAAAAGCAGAATAACAAAAAAGTAAACGAGGAGGACCCGTGAGAAAGCATGCATGCCCTTTTACTTCTGTAGCAAACTGGCAAGCCTTTTTAACTGCTCTGTGATTATACAGGATGAACAGAGTATTTGTAAAATCATTTCTGACAAATACAAAAATATTATTTCAAATTCAAGTCAAATTAAATAGCTTGCCATTAGGGGGACTGAATTGCATTGCACTTAAAAATAGCTCATAGGCTTCTTGTACTCATTTTGTAACAATGAAAATTTTTTTTTAAGAATGAACATTTTTACTTGGTGCAAACATAAGTGTTTGAGGGGGTTGTTGATTTTTAAAAATTTACTTATTCATTGATGGTTTTTTCTCTCTTTTTAGATGAATAACTTGGTGACACCAGTTGTAGGATTTATAGAGGATACATTCCAGGTCACTCCTAATCCAGATGAAGTGAGTGAGGTTTTTCTTGTGCCTTTGGAGTACTTTATCAAGCCCTTGAATTACAAGACCTTCCCTTATAAAACCTCCTCAGGCTACTCAACTCAGATACACTGCTTTACATACGATGACCAGGAACATAAAAGGTCATTCAAGATATGGGGACTGACTGCACACTTTGCTGTATTTCTTGCTCTTGTAATTTTTGGAGAGAGACCTACCTTTGAAGTGGATTATGATCTTGACAACTTAATCTCATCCTCTGAGAATAATTTCATTAATTTGTATGCCTCTATACCTAAAAAAAAGAGAAGTAATCTGTGACAGCTTGGTCTGGCAATTAATTTATTTTGAAAGAGGAAAAAGGAGGTTTGCTTATTTCCTTTGTACCTGTTTTTTGAAAGCTACACTTGAATTGCTTTCTAATTGGAAATTTTCAAGTTGATAATCCCTAATTAGATTAATACAATTTTTAATCTCTTTTAAGAGTTGTGAGAAGCACACAATATTTTTTATGAATCGGACTTTTAAAAGGTCTGTTTCAGCTCCTTCTCAGTTTCAGTGCCTTTGTTCTGTGTGATGGGAGACGCTTTCTGTGTTTTGCCTTGCCTATAACGAGATAATACTGTTTGATGTAATTTGTGTCTATTTGAGTTAACCTATGAAAACTTCTGGAGATCTGTCTGTCTCTTACATGTGCCATACATGGACAACATGATCCATACAGTCTTGTGTGGTATCTTTAAGTACTTACAGAACACACAATAAAAATACAAAATCTTTCATGTGCTTTCACAATCTTGTTTTGCTTGGGCTTGTGGAGGAAGAGCATGGGTTAGTATGTGCAATGAATCTCGGTCAATTTAACATTTCTCACAAGGAAATTCCCTAGGCCATGGAAAACTTCGGGATACATCAACAGGACTGAAGTTTGTCTTGGTTATCAAACCTCACTTGGCTGCTGGCAGGAGTGTTCTCCAGGAAAGAAAAGTGGAGGTGAGGATTCACGAGGACAGAAATGCTTATCTGTAGCTGACCAGGCACCCTGGCAGTGTCAGACACGTGGTGTTCCTTGTGCTAGAAATCCTTGTTCCCTCATTGCTGCTGAACTAGCAGCTCTTTCACAGTGGTCAGGACTTTACTGCAAATAATGATGTTTTTAAAAGCTCCAGTGATTTAGTCTGGATTCTGCAGTCTGGAGATCTGCTGCACAGCTCCAGGTGTCACCAGGCCTGAACAGCTGATCTGAACCCCAGGGTGAGCTGAAAGCATTTGGTGTCCCTCAGAATCTTGTGCCTTGTTATAAACGAGGCTGGAGACTTTTTGATGTAAATTAAAGCCTGGCCTGTTTATTAAGACTGAGCTGCAGCCGAAGGGGTTTGCAGGCTAATCCCGGGTGCCTCACGCTACAAACCAGGATAGCAACAAAGGATACAAATGGGTTCCCCAGCAGAAGAAGTCCCTGCTAACCCTCAACACCCTGATTTATACCCTCCCTTGGCCCTGGATTGGTCACTTTCTCGGGCTCTGATTGATCCATAGCCGTGTTCATCCTGGTCCAGTCATTCTTCCAGGACGTTGAATTACTGGTGGATGTTTCTTCCAATCATTACTCACGGTGGTGACAACATCTTCATTACTTCATGTTCTCAAATGTTCTATTCCAGGCATCTGACACATCTTCATTACTGACAGCATCTTCATTACTTCATGTTCTTGAATGTTCTATTCCAGGCCCCCATAAGCCCCCTTATATTTCTTAGCAATCCCCCATTCTATCCATCTGACCCCAATCCAGTCTCACCCTGAATATTCCAAAGTCTTTAACAATCCTAGCAACCATCATCTTAACAACTTTACAACATAATTAAACATAGTTAACTTTTATTCCTTATAACTTGCTAATTCATAACATCAATTAACCTTCCAATAATAACAACTTTAATTAACCTCCCAAGCTCAACAAAAAGATCACTTATAACATGCCTGAGCATAAGGCTCCAGTAAGATGAAGAAAACCCCTCAGCTTCTCCCATGGGTGTTTGCACTTGTGCTGCCCCTGCTCCAGTCACTAGCAGATGCAAGTGTGATAAATAAAAGCTGATGGCCATTACTGTGCACATACAGTAACTGCCATCAAACCTTTCATATTCCTATAGTAGCTCTTTCAGCTAATGTTATGTTGTTAATATCCTGCTGTCATTATGTTTGATATCAGTTGATTTTTTAAGTTAAAAGAAAAAAGGACTTGGTTTTTTTGACTAGGATGCAATCCTTGGAGAAGTATGTTGGAATCCATAATAATAGTCTGAGTCCCTCAGAGAAAGAAAAGAATTAAAATACATTAAACCACATAGATATGAAGTAAGAGTGTAGGTTTTAGTTTTATGTAGGTAAAAATATAGCTTAAGTGCCTTAAGAGTCCGTGTTAGCTAGTGAAAGGCCTAAAGGCCTAGTTTAAAGTTCAGTGATACTACCTTTCACAGATGTAACTTAGCTCCAGACACAATGAAAATATAGTAAGAACATAGCTTACATTTCTAGATAGAACAGATAGAACTATACACATAAATAAAATTATACAGATAATACTCTGTATGTAGGATTTAGGTAAAACTACTACTGCTTTTGTGAGTTAAGAATTAAGCTTAGATTGGTTTTGAAAGAATGTTTTAGAATCATGTTTTTAGCTGACTGGATGATTTACAAATTTAATCCCCTCTATTGGGAAAACCACACACACACCAAGAAGAAGAACAGCAGCAGCACCATCATCATCATCACCAAGAAGAACTACTACAACTGCTTCTGCAGCCCAGATCATAGAATCTCTATGCTGGGAAGCTGCTGCCCAGGACATCAGGACTTTGTACCAGAGTGCTGCTGCTGCTGCTCAGAATTTGGACTTTAAGCCAAAAGCTTTTAGCACAGACTTTAACTCTCTGAACTCTTTGCTTTCGAGACTGATACATTCATATAATAAACATCTTTACAGCAACCAACAACTGCTCGTCTCCTTGAGACTCAGAAATCCCCATGAACACTCAACAAAGTAGAAGGCACATGTATGAGGAACAGGGGTTTTCTTCAGTATTAAGCACTTGTGAAATTATTAAAACGCATTTAAAAATTTGACTTTAAACTCTTCATGTTAGGTGAACCCTCAATGCTAATAATCTCACTGCTATTAAAATGAGAACGTTTTTAATTAAAGTTAGTGTCATGCCTGGGTAGAGAGCTCAGCATTCACAGATTTCTTCACATAAGACTTTTTTTTTTTCCCTGCTTTATTAGTAAACGAGGTGTGCCAATGCACACCTTGCATGAACTTGAGGTTCTTCTCACTCATCAGGTTCTTCAATTCATTCATTGAGTCCTTCAGAGTAAGGGAAATTTCACGTGATGACATGTCAAAGCATTCACAGTCTTAGCA